ATGATACGGTATGTTTACTCACCTGATGTAAATATATGTGCATGATTGATAAAATTCTCTCTTCCTAATCGTCGACATGTATCCTGTAACTCTTTCAGTAGTTGTTCCTTTATATTTTTCTTGGTCTCAGCACACTGTACTACAGCACATTTCTTGGTTTTATTATTACCAGAACGGATCTTTAGTTTGATCTAAAAGACAACATTTTACGATATTGCATCAGTGAATACCCATCACATGCACCATAGATACCCATCTGTTGCAGTGAATACCCATCACATGCACCATAGATACCCATCATGTTGCAGTGAATACCCATCACATGCACCATAGATACCATCATGTTGCAGTGAATACCCATCTCATGCAACAGTTACCATCACATTACAGTGAATACCCATCACATGCACCATAGTTACCCATCATGTTTCAGTGAATACCCATCACATGCAACAGTTACCATCACATTACAGTGAATACCCATCACATACAGTGAATACCCATCACATGCACCAGTTACCCATTATGGTGTAGAAATCACCAATCACATGCACCAGTTACCCATTACATACAGTAAATACCCATCACATGCACCAGTTACCCATTACATACGGTGAATACCCATCACATACAGTGAATACCCATCACATGCACCAGTTACCCATTACATACAGTGAATATCCATCACATGCACCAGTTACCCATTACATACAGTGAATACCCATTACATACAGTGAATACCCATCACATGCACCAGTTACCCATTACATACAGTGAATATCCATCACATGCACCAGTTACCCATTACATACAGTGAATACCCATTACATACAGTGAATACCCATCACATGCACCAGTTACCCATTACATACAGTGAATACCCATCACATACAGTGAATACCCATCACATGCACCAGTTACCATCACATACAGTGAATACCAATCACATGCACCAGTTACCCATTACATACGGTGAATACCCATCACATACAGTGAATACCCATCACATGCACCAGTTACCATCACATACAGTGAATACCCATCACATACACCAGTTACCCATTACATACTGTGAATACCCATCACATGCACCAGTTACCCTTTACATACAGTGAATACCAATCACATACAGTGAATACCATTACATACAGTGAATACCCATCACATGTACAACAGTTACCCATCATATTACAGTGAATACCCATCACAAACAGTGAATACCCATGCACATGCACCATCATGTTGCAGTGAATACCCATCACATACAGTGAATACCCATCACAAACAGTGAATACCCATCACAAACAGTGAATACCCATCACATGCACCACAGTTACCCATCATATCACGGTGAATACCTATCACATTACAGTGAATACCCATCACATAACAGTGAATACCCATCGCAAACAGTGAATACCCATGCACATGCACCAGTTACCCATTACATACAGTGAATACCCATCACATGTACAACAGTTACCTATCACATTACAGTGAATACCCATCACAAACAGTGAATACCCATGCACATGAACCAGTTACCCATCATGTTGCAGTGAATACCC